AACATGGCCGGTAAGAGTACAGGATATCCGTAGGTTACTAGTATTTGATCATAGGTGTCTTCGAAACATTGCTCGTATATCATGGGACCATCGAGTAAGTAACACAGTTATTAGGAAACGGGTACTAGGTAAGGATGGCAAATCAATTGATGAAGTAGTGAAACTTCATCAGTTGAGATGGCTGGGACACGTGTTACGTATGCCCAACGACCGACTGCCTCGACGTGCTATGTTCAGTGGTATAGGAGTAGGTTGGAAGAAAGCTAGGGGCGGCCAAACCAAAACATGGCACAAGTCCATGAAGTCACTGACAAGTGAACTGAGTCATGTTGGTAGGTGTAGACTACCTGGTTGGGGACCGCGAGATGACAGCAACCGATGGTTAGAGACCCTGAATGACATGGCTCAAAATCGTTTGCAATGGCGCAGGTGCATCCACTCTCTGTGTTCTCCCAAATTCTAATCTTCTGAATTCTTCGTGTCCCTTTTTTCCTCTTTCCAAATTTTTTTCACTGTATTATACTCTTTAAATAACATCTCCAAACCCTAATCTTCCCGATTACTGCTTATACTCTTATTACCTCTACCACTACGGGATTTGAATCGACAAGTGCATCTCTGTGCTAATGTGGTGTGGCAACTCGAACTGATGTACGTACGTACGTACGAAGTTCTACGTTGTTACTGACTGACTGAAAGGTGTTGTGTAAACTCTTATACAGTGTGCATTTAAGTTAATTTATCTTCATATTATGCCCTATTTGAGTTAAAGAAGGAAAGAATTAATTCGTTAAATATATTGGCTGTCTAGTATACATTTCCCTACTACTCGTCATTTCAAAATAAAGAACAGAAACTTGTTTTCTATTTCTTGAACTAATTCAAATATGGGTCAGTGGATGACTGAAGTTCCATATAAGAAATTATCTTCCACAGAACTCTCAAATGTTCATCGTTAGGTAGATGCTGAAGACTGTCACGTTAGACAATAACGTAGTGTAAATTTAAAATTATTGTTGACTAATCACAAGCGATTATTCATGAGAAAATACATACAAACGATCCCCATCATAGTCTTGACAGTGAGAGACTCTGAAGACATCATTGTTGCGTCTAATTAGTTTACCCACAGTCGTTGCTCAATCGCTTGCTAATATAACAACATACATACACTTTGCTTATTGAATTAAGTCTAACATATTTTGTTAAAACTCATAATTAATTTCATCTTCGCTTCAATCAGTAGAAGAATAGTTCGAAGCCACAAATATATATAAATATATAAATATTAGTTTAGGCAAAGAGTTAAACTTCGATATTATTTGCATATCGCAACAACACAACAGACATTTCACGAATTAGAATTTCAGAATTTGATTAGAAAGCTTAATCGTTCTGTTTATTAATATTTCGTTAAAACGTTAAAAGCTCAATTGTGTAGTATTTCGTTAGTAACTGTTGCAGAGTAGAAAATTGTATGAGTGTGTGAGTGTGATGAAGTTATTAACGAGATAATAAAAATAAACTGGTGATTGTGAGATTAACAGATTTTCTGAAGGAAACAGGCAATTAGCACCTGTCAGTCAATCGTTGCTTTGTATTTTACATCTTATTAAAGTGTCTGGAAGCAAGGTTGATTAATGTTGCCTGACCCTATAATCAAAGGGAAACAGACTTTATCTTGATCACACACAATCATGTCACAAGTCATAGAGGCTGAGGAGTTTTTTCAGTTACCTTAAGAACCTCTGCCACAGAGAAAAGGTGATATATAGCACTTAGAAGAAAACTTTCTTGTCTTTCTATAGACGGGGGGACCGTATAGCTACGAATCCCCATTGTTTATTTGAAGACTAATGTGCTGAAATTAAAGTTTGTAGACTCCAAATAGAACAGATGTGAATTAAAACTAGATTCTTGGAAAAATATGTTATCTTAATAAATGTCATGTAATACACTGACCTCGCAAGAGATAGAACGGCTGCCTTCAGTTTAACACTTAAGCAGTATTAAAAGTTATATAAGAAGGAATATATTCTGGACTATGCCAACGTATGTTCACAGTGAAAATGTCGCTCTGTTCTATAGTGCCATTTATGGGCTCAAACACTAGCACAAAACTAGAGTTCATAAGCGGAAGTTCATTGAATACAGTTTAATGAAAATCAATAGTTTAGATGTAACACGTAAGTAAACAACAGATTGCACGTCACAACTTAAATATGACAAGTTTTTTATTTATTAATTTAAAGGAGTCAACATATTTCAAAAATTAAATAAAACCCAAACTAGTAATAAATAATTTTCTGAGAATAAATACTAGTGTTAGAAACAAGTGAAAAATATAAAAAATACACAAGTTAATTCGGTCATTAAATGGATAAAACAAAAGAGAACTATATTATACATCGAACATTTCAGATATAAAATTTATTGTTCACATTTAAATAACTAATATCCTGTTTTAAACACACTACGTCGGGAATTGGAACCAGATAACAAAAGAATGAATAACAAATGGAAGGGATCGCCCAGGTTAGAGTTCGATAGAGAATGCTAGCCAGTGGCTTATGATCCTTTACGAGGGGTGATAGGCGTAGGTGTTTTAAACTTGAATATTTATCCTGAAGTATATTTTTATAGAACATAACAGTATTTTCATGATACAACTTAAACAAAAACACGGACTAATTCATAATTCATATTGGCGATAACCTAACTAATTACGTTTATTGTCAATTCATTAAAACAAATATCAGTCAGTCAGTCAGCTACAACGTAGAACCAGGCCCACATATGCATCGGTCCAAGTTGCCATACCGCATTAGCACAACAAGATGAACACCGGATTTATAGGAGTGGTTAAGTCAATGGTGATAATATATAAAAGAAAGACTGTATATAAGTATATAGTACAGGAAGAAAGATTTAGTTTGTAGAAAGAAAGATATGAAACGATTTTAATCTCTTATTTTAAGGGAAGACAGAGAGTGTATACACCTACACCATTTTGATCGATTCTGAGCCGTGTCACCAAGAGTCTCCAACCATTGGTTACGATAGTCACGCGGACACCAACCGAGTAGTCTGCATCTACCAACATGGCTCAGACCAGAAGTTAGTGTCTTCAAGCAATGATGCCACGTTTTGGTTTGGTCGTGAAACAAATATACTTATTAGAAAATAGAATATGAATTAAACTATAATACATATTGGCAAAAATTCTTAAGGAACAAAAGTTTACATGAGTTCTATCATATGCTAGCTGAAAAATGGTGGGAGGAGAATTTGTATTCCAAAAGTTTACAAAAATGATAATGAAAATATAGACATAACTGATTTTTTTAACAGATTAATTGAAATAAAAGCGCTATTGACCAGTTTATAAAGGAATTGAAAGATGAATCAATTAGATAAGTGAACTCAATGAAAGGAAGGAAGGAAGGAAATAAGCAGGCAAAAAAGGCAAAACATTTCTGTATGAAAGCAAATATACATGGTACACAGAAAGAAATACACAAACATAGATTCATCTAAAACTTATACTAGAAACAATATTTGTTGGACAAAAGCATCATTGTTGAACAAATCCAAATCTTTCTTAACTGATATAGTTTTCATAGATGAACCAGCATATTAGTATTCAAAACAAATTGAGTTACGATGATGAAGATGAAACAAAAGTTTATGGGGTATAGGAAGAAAAAGCCAAACCTCAACTAGATAAACGCATTACATTAAGTACGATCAATGCACTTCCATAAGTTTGATAGGCTTGAAATCTCAACAGAAACTGAATAACTGGAGTACTGAACAGGAATATATAAAAACTGAGGAAAGTAGAGAGAACTGGAGGGACATGTAACTAGGCCTAGATAGTTATGGCGATATCATGTAATGTTATTCAACAAAAAACCGGTACAATGGTTTTCCATAGGTAATTTGTTCATAACTAGTGATAATCGTATTCTTCATTATCGAACTAGGGTCATAAAAATAATAAAATATAGTTCATTTCACTTTTCACAAGTCCATTACTTATCAGTTCTTTTGATTCTACCATGTTAGAAAAATCCGATAGTGACCCTAATCACCTATCACAATGTTAAACTGAGAACCTCTAGGGTCGAGACATATGGATTTATTCTTAATGCTAATGAATCCGAATAAAAGGGTCGTTGAAATGTTTTTACGAAAAGAATAAACATACACCTTTCCCAAATGGCATGCTACCCAGTTGTTACACATTACTGACTAACTAGGATCAAAAACTTCGACTTCGGCCCTTCTAGGGTTACTGTCGATCCCAAGCCCGGATAAAGGAAGAGGGCTGGGCTTGGGGTCCGCAACCCTACCCCGTGAAAAACCTTGCTAAAAAACGCTAACCGCTAACAAAGTAAGATCAAAAACTATCATAAAACACTGCAAAATATCTTCTAAGTTATGATAATATACTGTAATTACATCAGCTTTGATGATCTGCGATTTCTACCTTGTACAGCTTTAAGTACTTCATAACACTTTTTCATATTTCTTCAAGGAATATAGAACCATATACAACGAATCTCACCAAAGTAAGCCAACGCCTGATTCCAATTTCCCGAAACTATAAACATTGGATCTCCAGTTGAACCACTTTGTTAGATTCCAGTGACAAACATTTTAGAAGTAAATTAACACGTTGACTAATTCAGCTTATAACTAAGTATCGCGAGTGTTAATATCATCACAAAGAGTTATGTTGTTGATAAGAAAGTAATTTGGATAGAAATGGAAGTCAATAATTAACATCCCAGTCATTCTTTTCCCTCGTTAACCTTAAACATATGATTGAGTAAAATCGTGCAACTGAGAACAAATAATCCATTAATCTGAGTTATTTTTACTGTAATAAAAATTACTGATTACACCAGAGATACTGGATTTACATGAAATATGAGAGTCGTATTTTAAAGTCTTAGGATATCAATAAAGATTAACAATAAGATTATAGAACATACTTCATCGAATTTCCCTTGACTTTGACAAAGTAAGGCCAAATTGTTCAATTGTTTTGCTACATCCAAATGATCTGCACCTAATAACTTTCAAACAAACAAAAAAACGAAATGGTATACACAAAAGTGATATACTGAGATATATTTTCTAATGTCATAATAAATAAATCACAAAATTCATTTTCATTAAACTGTGATTATGAGAATTCGATTAATCTGAAGGTATAATTTACCATGTACAAGAAAAAGTATTTAAAACCAGTTAGTATTGTAAGATTACTTAGTCTTATTTAAATGAATCATAAGTAATGTGCTCAAGAATAGATTTGTTCAAAGTTCTAATAGTAGAATTAGACAATAAAATGAGAATATTTACCAAGTATTGACTGTTATGGACAATAAATGAACGACTCAATGTGATGAACCAGCTCTAGTTAAAGAAATGGTAATTATAAAGAAAAATTCCATTTCGGAAAAATAGTGTATTTCTCAACACACAGTGATGAGATTAAAGGAAAGTAGCGATCAATTGTGAATTACATTACTTAATTATTATCCAATAACTGAATGATCAAACACTAACTATAAAACTTAAAAACCATAATCTCGAGAGTGATCGATCATAGAAACTGATAACTATTTTTGAGATAATAAATAAGAACTTTCGTCTAAATTTGAACGAACAGTTTCACAATATTTGGGCCCCGAGTTAATTTGAGACATTAAAGCGAAGAATATATTTGTAAAAATCTCAGCGAATGAATTGGAAGTAGATAGAAAGAAATAACTATACAATCAATAATGAATTTTAATCCCCTTTTCAATTAAAAACTAACTTCAAAAAATAATGGTTAACTTTCATGTTCATTAATTAACAAAATCACAAATTATTCATGATCACCATTTCACGAACATTCTATTAAAATAAGATTTTCTTTTGATACACCGATAAAATGGGAGTCAACTGTGTCGAGAATATTGGTTAAAATAAACCATCCCAATTAGTCATTTTAAGATTCCGTAAGACTAAAAAATATCTATTATTGACGCCTAACAATTTTATTCTGAAAGTAATATACAAATCAAATAGGTTTTTAATGGAAGAATGAAAAAAATGATTTCAACACTGAACAGTGAATTATAAGGAAATAAATGGTATAAACCATCTACCGATTACCTTATTTACTCCGGTTTCAGTCACCCAATATGTGAGATTTATTGACACTATTACACAAACTTATACTGAAACATTTGAAGTGGAGTTTGGATTTGTGATCTAATAGTTGGAAGTCCTCTTTTTTAACTAGTATTTCATAAGTATTAATTATGTTAAAGCATTAAATTCCTACAGTTGTTTAGTTTAAAGTGTAACTCAGTAAGTTTTGGAAGGATTTGTAAACTAGACAATGTTAAGCCATGCTTAAATTATAATAGTCAGTCAGTCAGCCAAGTAGAACTTGGCACGTATATGCATAAATTATAATAACTGTCAAACAATACAAAAATAAGGCGAACTATCCCTAGTCAAAACCATAAGATTACAAGTATACAGAAATATGATCACAACTAAACCTTACAACTAATCATATTATGTAAATAATACTAACATGAAAATATTTCAATTTATGAAGTGATATTAACCGAATAAATACTGAAAACCTAGAAGGATTAGACAATCGTTTAATAAGATTTAACAGAATATTTATCACGTGTTGTCGAGAGAGTTCCTTGAATTTAGATGGTGGTTGGAGGTAGCCAACAGGAAACCCTGGACCAGGGTTTCGTGCTACTTGGCACTCGTCAGCAAGGTGTACCTGTAATCTTGACGGAACTGGTGCTCCCTGGCGGATTCGATCTCGTGTCACCCAGCTTCACAGTCAGAGACGTTACCACTAAGCTATCCGAGCCGTGACTAACCTCCTGTAGGACTGAGATGTAATCACAATTGATCGATCACTGGGTGGTGATTAATGTCATGCTTGTCTAGTCCTCACTAGTGCAGATCGAATGCTATCGATCTCAATACATAGTGCCCGCAGTGTCGAGTAACCTAGACGGGTGGCCACATTGCAACATGATCGATAGCATTCGATCTGCACTAATAAGGACTAGACAAGTATGACATTGATCACCACCCAGTGATCAATCAATTGTGAGTTGCTTAAATTAAAACTAGGACTCTTATAGGTTATCATCAAATCAGTAAAATCAGTGTACAACAGGAAAAAACGTTTATTTTTCAATGTTAGCAGAAAGTATCCACATTTACTGATATTATATTAGATCATGAATATTTTCCCTACAATTTCAAGTTCCAATTTTGAACTTACTTACATAAGTTAGTGATTTTCGCTTTCTTTTCCTAAATAAAAACTGAATTCAGCCTAATCAATTGATTGAAAATTATTAGATTCAACCAACTTAACCTATCTTGTACAATTTCAATAACAACAAACCCTCCGAAATTAGAAGTAATCATTTATAAACGAGAACAAGAACAATATACTTAGCCAAAATAAAATTAAAGACAACATAGGATTCCGAAATCTATCGTGTGAATACATTTTAATTTTTTTATCAGTAAAGGGTTGTGGAGATTGTTGAGCTTAGATTGATATCATGAATGGACCAATATTAGACTATCATTGAAAACCCTGAAACACTGGATGGCCGTTTCGTCCTAGGATGGGACTCTTCAGAAGTGTGCATCCACAATCTTGCACGCAGGATTCAAACCAAATATCTGGTTGTGAAGTGATAAAACTGAGATTTTAGATAGCGTGTGTGTGTATGTATGTAAATATTAATAAACCACTTTAATCTAAGTAGGATTTCTATGTTTCTCTTCTCCATACGAAATACAAATTTCTTATCGGGGGAAATTTGAGAAAACAAAAAAAACATACACTAGAAAAATAGAGAAGTTATACAATCAGCCTCAAATTTGATCAAAACAAGAAAAGTGAAGGGTAAAAACGATCAATACATACTTTGAATAAACTAATAAGGAAAACATATTTACATTCACCCAAGCAACGTAATCATGTTAACAAAGTAACTGGAATCTTGAAGTTGACAAAAGGTAATCAAACACAACTGATAATTAAAACTTTTGAATATTTTACTATTCTTAAAATAAACACTTGAATAATTTTAAGGAGAACATATAAAATACGAAAAATATTGCTAAACTATATTGAGTGGCAAAATCAGTAGGATAAAAACAGACTGAAGTAGAATTAAATATTTAATGCAACTATTTGAGATGGATTGATTAATGAAAGTGATTAATCTCAAGATGCAAAGGAGAAGGAACTGAATAATTTGTGGATGTATATTATGTTGTGATAACATTAGCTAAAGAAATATGATACCATACAGAAAATCGAATGATTGTTTGGAACTTTTTCCGTATTGCAAATCATTTTCCAAAATCTAACATCCAGGATTAAAATGCTTAGTGGTGAGAATATAATTAATGAACGACCCTTGAGTGATGCTAAACTGACCTTGAGAGTGTCCACCTAATAACCAGGACCAAATGAGGGTTATAAACCAGTGTGAGGAATTAGAATTATGATATACAGTTCATGGTTAGGGTTAGGAATTAGATTTAGGGTTTTCATCACGAACTGATATCAGCTATAATGACAAAACTCTATTTAGCCAAATTGACGGGTGAATCTCGCGCCAAAATCCTAGACCTGTTATCTTATACCTGATTGGTTTGTCCATAAATTATAATCTCGCCTGTTTAGTAATAGTGCGAACGCTAAGAATAAAAAACTAATAAGTGATGACTTAATAGATTAAATGTGTATAGAGCGTCAAATTAAGACATGGGAATGATTCATCAAATGACCTATGTTGAGGAAATACATAGCTTTTGGTCTGAGAACTTTAGACAATCTAACCAAAAATCGATTGTAGAGATTTAGTCGCACTTATTCTTTATCTTTCTACAAATTTTGAGTTCATTATCATTTCATGCGTTTTATCCTTTGATCTCATTCGTTCATTTTGAATTATAATTCTTGTATTTATCTATTTGCTGCGCCTGACGTTAATTGTTTTCATTTTCAAAGCTTTTTATTTTGTTAATTTCCACTTTCTGTGTTAATTTTGGGGTCTATGCATTTCTGTCCTAGATCCTATGTTGTTCCTTGACTAATTGACTGATTCATTAGTACATGTTGGTGATACGTTATGAAAGTGGGAGAGTACTGGTCCCTTATAACAATAATCAATTATAATGATATCAAACTTAACTCGGCTAAACAAGATAATATTCCTGATTATATTTAAGAAAACTACGTATATAATCTGCCTGGAGTATATACAAACTGAGGATTTTAAAAAGTACTTTAGTTTATAAGAATTGCAGTATATCAACTTCATCATTTCCGAACTATCGACCATTTATGCAAATACGCTTTTCCTATTCCTGTGTAGACTGTTCGAGACACTTGAAGGTTTACAGAAATTAGTCACTTAATTGCTTCGTTTTACAATTATATGCACAGACGATTTTCCTAAGTTCAATTGATCGTCAGCCATACGAACAATAAACTACTGAATAGAAAACACAGAAGATACAAGAAGCTGACAACTGTCCTAGCGTTGCATCATTTTCGCAGTATTTACGGTCTTCATAGGAAAGCTTGATTCCTTTGAAAAAAACTAATCTGTTTTAAGAACTTTCCAAATTTGTGTATTTATTGTATAGAATATGTACAAGCATAGAACAATGGAAAATTTCTTTACAGAGATAGAATGAACGCAACCAAGAAAATTTTAATCTCTGTTCTTTATCAAACTTTAAATGTGAATTAAGGAAGAAAAACTAAGAAATAATAGCTAATTGGCTAAAATTTAGATTTGTATTTGTCTGTATTCAAATAAGTGAATCTGTCTTAACGTAGCATTGTCAGAAATCAAGATACAGAAGGACTTCAAACCATATGACTAACCACCATTAGTTTCTACTGACACCGCCATGCTTGCAAACACAATAAAGTTCACATTGATCTCAGATTTCATACACTTTTTCAGCTCAACACTATTCTCCATATACATCACTAATTAGCAGGATTTAGTAATTCTTTTTTGAAATGGATATTGTGAGCTCTAGTAACAATTATAATTATTATTAACAATATTATTAGTATCATATGACTGTTATTTTACGCAAAGAAATGAATAGTGAAAATTGTTGCAGAAATGAGAAACAAAGATTTATTCTTTTAATCAAAGATACATTTCCACGGAAAAATCATGCAAAAACATGTACCTTCTTGTAAACCTACACATAATTCAAACTAGAACACGATAGATCTCACAGAACATGTTAATTTCAGTGTGACTTTTGATCAATAACTGAATATATATATATATATATATATATATATATATATATATATATATATATATATATATATATATATATATATATATATATCATGAGTATTACATTTTCCAATGTTTGTTAGTGAACTATAGAGACAAATTAATCAAGACTTAGATAGCGATTTCTAGTTATTTGTTGTGCCAAATGATTAAGAACTGTTTGGCGAAAATAGTCTCCTTGAAGACAGTAAAAACCTTAAGGACACTTGTAGAGCTGGAGACCAATTTAAAGACCACAACACCAATATTTTAGTAGATTGCACGTTGTACTGCATAGGCCCCTTGAACTACGATTATAGTTTGAAAATAATGACAAAATTTATGTAGGACAGAAAACATATGTCCGAGAAATGAATTAGACTTTATGAACTTATCATGGGTACTTCTATTATTATTGTTATTATTATTACCAAAGTATGTAACGTGTAAACTTAAATATTAACTCGTGTGCTCACACTCTCACATACATATTATGACTTTGGAAATAATTCAATCAATCCCCTTCCATTCCATATCAATCACACTTAATATAACTAAAACTTTCAAAATGAATAAATCATATGATATTATTATTAATATGATATTTGGAATATATAAGCTATGAAATCGTTAAATAGTAGATGGTTCTAATAAATAAATACATGCTTATTTTAATACAAATAATTACAGATAGATGATACATACTAGTGAGAAAACGTTGGAAGTTCTTATTTCATTCTAACCAACCAATATAAGTGTCACACTTTGTTTGATTTGATCTGATGTTCTATATGACCACTACAAAATTATTACTGATCACATCTAAATGCTCTTAATAGAAACTAGGCGTGGAATTTAAAACAACGGTTTTAACCTGAGCAGAAAGTTTATCAGTTACATATTCTTCATTTTATATATCCTGATCCTTTGGTGAATTTAAATAAAGCGAGAAGAATAAGAGTTGTAGAATAGTGAGAATTCATTCTATTTCAAGGTTTCTCATCAGCTGGGAACGGCCTGAAGTTAGAATTAGTTATATTATTATAAACCAACCAATGAAGTTGAGTTCGAAAACACAAAGAAAATCCAGAAGAAACAGGATGAAAAAACATACTTAGATTGATAGTTCAGTTCAATTGAAATCATGAACCTATCTAAGTTAGGCAACCATTGAAATCTAGGAAACACTGAACGGGCGTTACGTTTTAGCATGGTACTACCCGGAGGTGTGCTTCTACCACCCCGCAACTAGGAATCGATATCAGGACCTACAGTCCTGGGCGAACGCTTAGCTTCTAAACCACTGAGAACACACCCAGTAGTTTGCAAATCTAGCTTCAACCAATCTACAGCATTGCGCGACCATCTTCCTTTTTCCCAGTGGATTTGATTCTCGGTTGCGAGAGCGTACATGCGCACTAATGAGGAGTCCCACACTAGGACGAAACAACCATCTAATGCTTACAGGTTTTCAATGGTGTTCTAACTGAGATGGGTTCATGACTTCAATAAAACTCAACGATCTCCACAACTCCACACTGACAATAATTTAGACTTACTAGTAATTTCTTCAAAATGAAGTCAAAGTGGGTGATTTCATAAACAATAATGAAAAGACAAAAAAATTGGTGAATGAGTAGTAATAGAGCTACTTAGTCAACATAAAATTAGAGTTAACCTCGTGAGTGAATCTCGATGGAATTTCTTGAAATATAGATTACAATAAAGAGACTATGTAATTAACAAATGTCAAAACAATATATCTATTTTATAATGGAAATGAGAGGTTTGCCATACTTTTTTTCTGTATAAGAAGGTCAGATTTAAAACGCTTGATGGAGGTAGCTTCTGCAAAGCGGGTTGAAAGCGACGTTCTCTAATTGTTTTTTTCGCTTTATTTATAGATATCCTTAAATTTGGATGTGTTATTAGCAACCAATAGCAATCGGACCTAATAGTCAATACTTCGAATGCTGCGGAATTACTTCAACAGAAATGTCGTTTCTTCTGTTTCTTCGGGATCTGATGATATCGAATATTGGTTACTGGAAACCTTTGCCTAATTCATACTATTTACAAGTGTAAATGCAAATGTAATTTTAAGCAGAAAAAATTACTTTTTCTCGTATACTAAGCGCCCGCCGACACAACGGTTCCGCTTCAGTAAATCGACCAGCTTTAGCATGTAAAACTGCCAAATTGTTTAAAGCAGCTGCTACCTATAATAGTTTTGAAGTAAAGGCAAGCAAAAAGGAAATATAAAAGAAAACGGAAGAAGTTACAACAACACAAAGATAATACTCACTAGCCGCTTCAATATCATAGGAGAAAACTTCAAAAACATCATTGTGGTAAATGTTTAATTACTGAATAAACGATTAAAACCATTAATACACTACCGCAACTTCGATCGTACGATATAGATTTATTCCAAAATTTTGTTAGAAAGTTCAATGCATAAAACGTGTTCGAATCACATGTTTTTGAAATATGACACTTCTAAATCCCATCGAAACGTATGGATACTAAAGAGATTTAGGAGTCTAATAATACTATACTTTGAAAATCTTATTTCTCTTTTTCCAAATTTTTTTAAACTACATGAACAAAAATAAAATGAGAATTATGCAGCAGAACTTAGTTTTACATATAATTGGTAAGAATGATAAGCGTTTTAGTTTTTTTTTCTTGCAGAAATCCGATATTTTTCTGATTAATATCTTGATCATGATGTTGATGCTCAGGTGAAGCCGATCTAGTCTAGTGGTGAACTCTATTTTTGATGATTGAGTCAAACTTTTTTTTCAGAAAAGAATGTTATGTAACTTTTCAACATCAAAAACATACCAGCACATGGTTAGGTCCCAAAAGTTTCTCTCGTATGTTAATTACTTCTTTGAGAATATCAGATGCGTCCTTGTATTTTCCTTGATCACTAAAGCATTAAACAAAAGAGAAAAAAATCACTATTCAGACATGAAAGATTCAGAAAACACAGCAAATGAATAAAATGAACACTAGTTAGTAAACTTACCACCAAAATGGTTGTTAAAAATCCCTATTTAATCAACATTACAGCAGATATAAGTAGGATATCGAAATATGTAACTGACGAGCGAACACATAAGCGACCAAATGTAAAGTAGTTTGCATGAAACTACAAATAGTATCATCAGACACTAATGATTTAAAAAAAGCTTAAAGAAACTTTGTTTTGATTTGCCGAAAAAACAAGTTGTATGAAATTTTTTAAACAAATGTGTTTAGAATATCAAAATAAGGATATAATAGATCGGATTTTTAAAAAGTTACATTTTTTTCTGATGATAAGCACACAATGATATATAATGAACTAAACTTATAACAATTCCCAACAGGATTTTTCGGTGTGCACAAAGTCTATTAAGATCCAGTTCGTTAGAATGAAGTCACTTCCATTTAATAGATTGACATTAAAGCCAAAACTCTTTAAAATATAACTTATAATGTTTATGCAACTTACCGGTAAACCAAAGCTAAGATATTCAGTAGAGCAGCAACCTCAGCTTGGTCACGACCACCAGATCCTTCTAAATCTCGAATAGCTTGTAAACATAAAGATGCTGCAACATCATGCTTTCCCTGACTTGTATAACGTAAGGCTATGTGATGTAGTGTTCTAAGCCCAGGAGGAACATAAATTGACTGGGAATTCCGATGTCCACTTAAACCATGGAATTCACTTGGATTGCGACTTCGATTTACTGACAGTGAGTCCATATCCGCATCAAGTAAACTGGTATTCATTATTCCGCTCATTTCTAAGTGGTTGTATGGTGAAAATGATGAAACAGTGGTAGTTGTTGTTGTAGTCGGTTTCCAAAATTTGTTGTGTGTATCGAATCGATCTACATGATTAGATATGTTCAAATGGTTTGGAGAACTCATTAGGCCGAGAACAGATGCAACCATCATCGGCGGATCACCTTCCAAATGTTTAAAAGATGGATCTAAATTAATTTTGTTGCAATTAGTCAAAGAATTATCGTTAGCGAAAACGTTTACTAAAATAGGGTGAATAAGAAGTTTTAATTAATGGAAATATGAAAAAATATATTCACACGGTACCTCTATGGTCAAATCATTTCACTTCCAATCAACAGGTGGCTAGCCCAAACTCCATTTCACCTTCTTCAGTTTTGATCGTTGAATGGAATCACTAACCGTCATACAGTGTAACTTATAGTCGAGTACATGAATATTTATTCAGTGAGTTTAACAAATTATGCGCACAAACACGACAATGAAGTTATCTATGGCAGTTGAAGGTAAATAATATTATAGGGCCTGCTACAGATGTGTTGGTTTAAGTTGGTACATTTTACATCAAGGAAGAGAAAGAAAATCAACCAGAGGAAAAGTGAGTGGTACCAAAATACTCTGAGAAAAATCACAGAAAGAACAAATACAATCGATGGATAATTTCTGCGAAATTACGCTAAAACCCCAAATCAAGGGAAGATATATAAAATGATTGCATATAATCCACTGGTAGGATTTTGGGACATTTTCCTAAATGCCTTGAACGATTATCATGACTGAAGTTCTTATCATTTGAAAAAGATTAGGACAACAGCTAGCAACCTAAAAGACCAATAATTGTCTATTTTGGTTATTCAAAGCCTTATTTTAACTAGTAAAAAATACATATAAGAAGTGTCTCCACTAACTTATTCGATTACTATCCTAACAAACCGATTTACTGGTTCTACCTAATAATAAGTGCTCGATTTTGGTGGTTTTGACAAAACTAAAGAGTGCTTTAAAACATCATAAGTTAGGCTCTAACTTGGGATCCTCAAGGTCAATGGCGCCGGTCTATACACTCTTTGTCTTTCCTTAAACCGTGAAATTAAAATTGTTTTATATCTTTCCTTCCAACAATTAATCCTTTCTTCCTGTACTATATCCTTATACACAATCTTTCTTTTATATATTACTACTATTGAAGTAACTACTTTGTGAATTTGGTGTTCATCATGTTGTGCTAATGAGGTGTGGAAACTTGGACCGATGCATATACGTGACTGGTCCTACGTTGTAGCTGACTGACTGGCTCAAGGCTAAAAGAAAAGAGAAAGACCGGGGTTTGAAGGCAAGCATCGAAAGAATGAACAGCACTTGGAAACAACTGTAAAGTACAGCTCAGATTGATTGGGATATCCTGGTAGGTGACCTACGCTCCACGAAGACTAACAGGCGTAAGTTAGTACTAAATGCAATGCCCACCGACTCTCAAAGACGTTTCTCAGGGACAAAAGATCAATTAGGTTTCCTTTGCCTATAAATAATTTGTCAGTCACCAATCCACTAGAACTAATGAAACAGTTGCAGCACCAAGTTATACGACGCTTTATTATTAGACGTGGCATTAATGCATCCTGGACTTCCTGCGATCGCCACATAAGTTGCTTAAGGACCTGTCACAAATCACCAGATTCCAGTGATCTCGCTAGTTTTAGGTCAGTTAGGACATTAACTTCGCTACATAACCCGGATATCTATCTCCCATTTTATCTGTTGATAAGTAGCGAGTAACAGATGAGGAACCCGGGGCAAACTAACCGTTTCTCAGAGTGATTCACATACATTTCTAGTTCCATGGATCATTTTTATCAACCTCGAAAATATTTAATCAACTTTCAACACCTAACCCTCATAGGTTTAGAGAGTTATTCGCTGACATTTTTCGCCTACCTTTTTGTCCTTACTATTTTCGCCACAATAAGAAATGTGACTTTAGGAGGGTCTAAAGAGAATTATTGAAAGTGTCATATCTAACATGATACATTTCCTAGGCACTGTTTAATATGGTAAAGAAACAAGGCAACATTTTCAGTTTATTTGCAAAATACTTGAAATATTCGGGGAGAGGCAATTAACAAGTAAGCTATTACGAACGAATATGGGAGCCAACTAATTTGGAAACGTCTCTAGATCTAAAACTATGATGTGATATAAATCTCAATCTACGAATCGTCTTTTTCTCACTTAGGATGAATTGCCTGGCGAAATTTCCATTGTATATAAATTTATAGACGTTTTCTAACGTCAATCATAATCGGTGTATAGCCTTTGGAAAATATGCTTTAGCTCAAGTTGGCAAATCCCAATGGCACTATGAAATGGGATTAACAACACGAATGGTAGAGAAGTCGAAATAATGTAGTAGTAACGAAAATGAGAAGTAAATATTAGGAGTATGGTTCGGAAAAGTATGAAACTATATTCATATTGGGTGAACAAATATGAGCCACTGTTATTGATTTCGAGCCATATTATAAAACTGATTGCGGTAATCAGTCGGATCTCAAACAGGTGGAATTCAAATAAATATAGTACCTTCCCTTAAATCTTGAAAATTATTCTGTTCCAGGGAATAAAGCAACTCATCCTGATACATTTATGTTTATACTCATCCGTTTATTTATTACTAGACGTTTTGCTCTTATTTCTAACCTGTGCTTGATATATTTTACTAGAATTTTTTAAGATTACTGGTACCCTGAAATTTCAAATGCTTACTAGTCTTTCCTGACCATAGCTCACTGAGCTGCAAAAAAGTGGTAGCACGAGCCAATACAATCTTGTAGACGCGAATTAGTTTTCATTTTGTCACTATATATATGGGACGTTGCCGAGCCCTGCAAAAATTCGTTTGCAGGTAGAAGGAACCTGGGGAAAACTCAATTTAGACTTGCGTCGAAAAGTAATTTCTATATATTTCATAGTTAACAAACAACCTAGAAGATTGACATTACTATTCATACTACACATTAAAGCTCTACCCGTTATTTACTGTAACACTTATCTAGTACAAGTTTGTTCAGCCGACTTTTAGGAATAGTGATACTACCTCGCTGCTCAAACCGAGGTAGGTAAAACGAATTTCTAGTTTACACTCAGAATGGTCAACGCTAAAGTATATAAGTGTCATGAAGTTAGCTGATGCACCAAACTATAATTTAATAGGACCACATAAGTACTCGTCAGTAAGGAATAAACTAAATTCAACCTAGTTTCCCAACGTTACTTCCGTACAAAGCTAATAAAACAAATCGGACCAATCTGTTTATAAAGCACAGGAAAAATACTTCAAGAAAAATAAATAAAACCTTACTTTTTTCAGTATCACAACTGTTGGAAGATATGTCATATTTCTTTAAATCCAACATAAATTCAAGATGTTTTTTTTCGACTTCAGTTTGAGCAAGGAGCGATTCGTTTTCCTATATTACCCATGTTATAAATATCCACAATAAAGTTACCTCCAGTTTTGTTTGTGTGTACTTTAGCTCATCTCGAAGCCAACAAGTTTCTTCAGTTAACCTTTGATTGTGCAACTGTACCTTCAACAGCTCAGCTTCCAAATGTTCGATATATTTGGCAAATGTAATCATAACCTTAATATTTTTAGAAACTACTCTATACAGAAAAAACCTCTGAGTCGTCTAATCCCTTTTCGATTTGTTTTAGTGCAGCTTGAATTATTGGAATTTTCTCTTGATTAAAGACTTTCTCACATTCTAGACTTGTGTTAAGATTTGGTGATGAATGACTGTTTTCTGAGTTACAAAATGTACTTAAGGCAGATAAAGCTTGTTCATGATCCTGTTTCAATGATTCGAGTACCAGTTGAGCTTGCTTAATACTTTGCTTGACATGAGAAGGCATACCCATTACCAAAGCAGCATGACAAACTTCAGTCTGAAAATTCATGAAGTGATGGAAAAGAATAATAATAAAATGAAAATAAAATACTCAACATTCACTTATCCCATGATATGCTTTATTCCACTGAAAATTACAGCTCTTACTCCTGAACACCTAAGTGACCTTAATTTATTAGTTTGACTCAAAGAATTATGTTTTATTAACTACTAGTCACAACATACATTTATTTGGAAATGGAAAGCACATGATGCGATCGGGGCTTGCTTTCATATATATGATATCAATGCGGTTTATCCCCGTCACTCACTGGATGGACTTTAGGAAGGTGTTAGGAACTAATCAAATTAGGCACTAGGTGTTTTAAGGACCAACATCTAGTATTCTTGTACGCTAATACCCTATCTTCCTATCTTGGGTAAACTTTGGGGAAAAGCCCGAAAGTGTTATATGATTCTGTGGAAATATCGGGAAAACCCAAAACTTCCCCAAAACTATGGGGGTTTTCCTCAGACCTAGGGAAATTTTAAGTTTTTTGCTGTTTTCCTAAAATTTTCCTAGAGTTTTTTATAGTTGTTTCCCTTAAATTTACCCAAACCAGACGAAATTTTCCCAAAAATAGGGAGATTTCAATCTCGAGGTTGAGATCTCAATAGGTATAAACCACTTAATTTTTTTACATTTGCACCCTGGTGTTATACAATGATTTTGGCTAAACACAGAATCTAATGAAGTTAGTATGTACACTTGGTAAGAATAGTCTTAGTGAAACGGATACACAATAAAAATAATCATGATTATGACATAATCATGCAGTCTAGACCGGAGTTTCTTGATGTGGGAGATGAAATCTTGAGTAACGTACCAATAGAACCAAAACAATATCCTTATTTGTTGTGCACAAAACTAAAAGAAACCTTAACTACACACAATAACAACAAACCAATCTCAGCAGTGACCTTAAAGATATCAGTTGGGCGCTTTCAGTCAACCAGAAATTGATGTGTGCTTCGAACATTGTCAACAAATATTGGCACTGACTATATGTCTGAATTACAGATGGTAAAAAAGTGGGAATATAAATGCGTAATTCTCCTTCATGAATCTGAAGAAACAAAATATTAGTGATAAACAGAGACAAAACGAAAACACTTGCAACAAACATCCTACGTTTTCAGCTTCTGCTTGAAAAGAACAGCAGGCTTGATGGCCTGCGTAAGTCCCGTCAAAAGTAATTTCTCAATTGGTCCAACTTTCTTTTGAATGGGTCGACACATAGCTTCAACCGCACGTTAGTGTAGGTGGTCCTAATTGTTGATGGTTAAATGGGGAAGTCATGTATCAGTAACTAACTCCCCAATATAAAAACAACATCAAAGACTTTTTCTCAGAGCTTTTCGAACGCGAAGTTTAGTCCTAACATGAATTGCATTCCCCAAACTTTTGCTGTGTTCTTACGCAACAAAAGTACCATTTTTGATTTAAAGAATCTATTTTGAGCTATACGATTGGTAGATTACTTTTTTGAGTTTCACCCAATTTAATAGTTAACTGTGGTTTTGCCTCAGCTTACTATTCGGTTTTTTTCGGTTTTTTCACGTAAAGGCAAGTTCAGTTTATCTCAACCGTTTTTAGTGTATTTTTTTAACGGTCTTAGGCTTTTGCTAGCATCTGTAATACAGTTTGCGTAAATACAGTCATAAAAAATTCATGCAAACGACCTGGATGCCGCTTCGTTGTTACATCTGGCATGCAGTGGGACAACTGCGAAGGTTGGCTTCATGAAGCTCTATGAAGATCTCACAGCAACTGCTTACAACAGACTCAGTAAGTAGTTTTTCCGAGTGACATCATTGTCCTATTGACAGGTCAGCACACTTGGAAAAAGACAGTCATAAAAAGGATAGACAAACAAGAGCGCGCAACGAAAAAAGTATATATGTAGGGACGTTGACAGGTCTACTATCGATGGCGCATGCATTAGTACTAGTGATGACATGGTGAAACTCAGCACCATCATAACGTTGACGGTAATAGACTCCCTCAGCAAACTCAGTTATCCCAGCTCAGGATCCTTGAGTGCAATAATGGTTCCCAAAAACTGTGTAAGTGATTGAACCCACGTTGGCAGAGATAAAAGTACCAGGCGTCACCGTCTAAGCTGAACATTCCAAGTATTGTACGGAAATCAACTGGTGATGTGATCGCACCGTCTACTCCCAAGAATGTCCGTCCGGTCATCAAAAAGCCTAGGATTCAGAAACGTGCTTCGACCTCCAAAATACTGACTCAACATGTGACGAGACTAGCAAAAAAGGACAGTGATTCTAGACCCCGGCTAATGAGGATAACTTTTCCATCCTCCCATATGGTGCTTGCAACTCTGGAAGCATTTCGTGCCAGCAGACGTCGGTTGCCAACTGGAATCCATATGCACCCGAATAGGCCACATGACGCCGGGATCAAGCACAAAGGCAAGCTGGAGCTGACCATTCCATTTGTGGACTTTCTGGATCATAAAAAACGTGTAAAGGACAGGGCCTACCAACTCGGCAAATCTTATGTAGACATGCTACCTGTCCATTCATGTAAGGCTCATACAGACAAACAGGAAGAAGCTCCCGCGTTTCAAATTGAAAGCATAAACTGCATATACATGAATGCTGCGAGTCGACCAAAAAAATGGATGAGCTACGTGAACTTAGCAATGCTAATGATGCTTGTCTGATAGGAATATCTGAAACTTGGATATCTTCTCAGTTTACGGACCAGGAGCTAGCAATACCTGGGATATCTTTGTTTCGCAACGACAGAACAATAGGAATCGGGGGTGGAGTAGCCGTGCACATACGATCCTGCTTGGAGGTACATCAAGTTCACAACCATGTGTAAGATCCATCTTGAGTGTTTTGTGTGTGAAAATCCCTCCATGTATGCACTCGCAGTTTGTTCCTATTGATTCCTTTAGTTGTACATTGTCAGTCTCCTTGGTTACATTTGAGTTGTTGGGCAGAACACAAACGAACTGACAACAATGCCCCGTACAGGCAGTACAAACATATAAGGAACATATGCACGAAGGCTATAAGAGAAAACAGGATTCAGTATCAGATAAAGCTTATTGATAAATTTATCTCCAATCCGAAAAGCTTATTCTATTATGCGGCCTCTCTTCGTCAAACCAAAACTGAAGTTTCACAACTGCTAGGTCTTAACGGCCCGACCAACAACGACGGCGACGCCGCTAACCTTTTGGCTGAACAATATGCTCGGACATTTCGACCGAACCCCATCAACTATACTGATAACAGCTTGATCTGCAACTGCACAGGACTTTCCGTAATCAACCTGCTCGCTGGCTTAGTGTTCCGGAAATTGCAGCATCTAAGAAAAGACACTTCCCCTGGCCCAGATATGGTTCATTCTGCTATACTGAGGGAAGCAGCCTCAATCCTGGCAACAGCGCTTAGAGTGATGCCCCCACACTCTCTAAGCCGAGGCAAACTACCGGAAAATTGGAAGCTAGTTCACATCACAGCAATTTTCAAAGGAGGTTGACGCAGAGAACCTTCAAGTTACCGACTGGTGACTCTTCTCTCTACACCTTCAAAAATCATGGAGTCCCTGATATGCGATGGTATATATGGATATTTACTGTCTTTAAATTTCTTCTCACCCCAACAGCATGGTTTAGGAAGGGTTATTCTTGTATAATCAACCTGCTGACTGCGGTGGACAGATGAGCTTGACTTTGATTACAATTCGGATGATTTCATAACTACTGTTGTTCGTCCTTATCATGAAGTCACTTCCAATGAATACTATAGCCAATGTGAGAAATGTGTTTTAAATGAAGCCATGTTATTTATAACTTGTGGATTTGAAGATCCAACATTATTTTGTGGGAAAGATTGATGTTGCAAAATCTGTAGTCCAACTTCTAGATATCAATGATTTCAGTACAAGAACGACATGCTGATCATATACATTTCCAGGACCCAGTTGAGTCAGTTCCAATTTCAGTCGTTTATCCTAATGCTAACGAGTATATTCTAGATCACACAGAATTTGTACTCAACACAAAATCTGACAGACACATGATGAGCATAAATTAAAGATGTTAGATCGATGACAGAAACGTAGATTACAATATAAGTTTCAACGGTTGTAATCTTTGTATTAATAAATGATTCTTTTGTACTTGGTGCCTGCATGATTTTTAATTCCGAATGAAATACGTTTGTTTGCGCTCACCTAGTACCGTTTGGCTTAAATTGCGCTATTTCGAGGAATCATATTTCATAAAATAGCTCAATTACTTCTAATCATCACAGTGGTAAACAGTCGCCTGTAATCGGGTGCTTACAAGTAGTGTAGTAAGATAACCATAGGACCCAGATTGAAATTGGCGTTCAAGGTCTATATTGATGGTTGGGGGGGCAGACAAAATTTACTACCCATCGTTTGATGAATGTATGAGCCACTATTCCAGTACTAATACCTTTGAAAGGTGATGCTTCTGGTCATCGTGTGTAATGATATAGTAGTGGTATTGGTTCCTAACCACACGACCTTTGAACCTGAGCGTGTTAGGGATGCAGAGGAATATACCAATAATTACCATGTTAAGTCCAATGGTGTCCTTGGACTTTAAATGGACATTTCCCATTGGTCGATATTTGTTCACTTGTTAAATATTGTACAAAATGTTGTTTTCTATTTTATGGTACGATGTGGTATGCTTGATTGGTATATAAACAGAGCATGTTTGAAATATAACGATCCATATCTCAGGGGTTGTGACTTGTGTTCGTACGTGTTTACGTGTCACCGAATCTATCGATAATTCGCTACCCTCTAATCTGCAGCATCACAATCACAATAGAGCGTGTAATTTCTGAGGAAATTTACATTTAACATGTAACAACAAGAGGAAGACAACAATAGTGAACGCGCCAACATGGAATCGAAATGGCATGTCTCTATTATTTAGGTGCGACCTTTTTTTATAATCTCCTGTCTTTTGTATCAAATGTATAACTTTCTTTCAAGCTCAAGCGTTTTGTTTAGAAATGCCAGATATCACATTGTTGATCATCATGATAGGATGGGTCAATGTAGATGATTTACTCGTAAGATCTTTTCAGTCAACCGGTCAGGTACAACGTAGGACCAGTCACGTATATGCATCAGGTATATTCTCCAGTTTATATTGGATAACAATAAATATTATAAAATATTCATGAATAAGAGAAAGCGTTTATTTATGAGTTGATATGTAATTAATTACCTTAAAAGAATATATTACAGTTACCATTATTTTTTTTAAATAACATAAGTAATTACTTACTTACACCTGTCACCTTTCACGGAGGAGAATAGGCCGTCAACCAGCACTCTTCATTCAACTCTGTCCTGAACAATCCTTTTCAGTTCTTTCCAGTTGCTATTCATCCTTTACATGTCTAATACCAATGCTGGACGCACTGTGTGTGTGTGTGAGTGAGTGCGTAATTATTTAAATGAGATCAGTCATAATGAAAACATATGATTTCTATATGTTAGGGAAGAAAATGAAAATATTACTTTTTAATTATGCATTAATTACTTTTCCTATATTTTTTGAATATTTCATAGAGATTTTAATGATGTTATTTTCATGATTTACCATAGTAATTCATTGGTAATGAATGAGAAACAATCATTAGTCAGTTAGCTTGGCTGGGATGTATGAATAGCTAGCTTACTGGTCTTTGGTCACCAAGTCTTGTTTCTCGTTCGCAGATTAAGTGAACTCGTGATAGCTTCAACTCTAGCATTTTCTCATAATGAGATATTAAAATGATTATTTAGAACTCATTAATTATATAAGGAATAATATTTTAGAGTATTCGATAATTAAGGTTATTAATTAATATTCTGTATGAATTCAATGGATATTTTTGACATATTACATAGATTTTCGT